TTATGTCTTGTTTGGCATAGACATGCTAATTTTTGAGATCCTCAATGGAAAAAAAAATACGTTGGGAGTCAGGCCTGGCAGTGTAGACTCTCTAAGACAGGCAGGGAGGTAGGAGGGTCACCATCGAAGCCCACCAGCATTACAGAGTTTGTGGCTGGTCTGGGCATCTTAGTGAGACCTTGTGTCAAAACTGGGCCAGGGATGTAGCTCAGTGACAGAGCACTTCTAGGCTCTCAGGAGTCTCCTGCCCTGTGCAAACGTTGCTGGGTACCTAACCCTTTATCCACTGTTGTTTGTGTCTGTCTTTGTGCCTTTGCTATATATTGTCATTTGGGCTTGTGACCTCAGAGTTACTGGGCTTTCTTCAGAGAGAATTCCATGTGACCTCTGCAGTGGGCACGGTGTTCCAGAGAGACATTCTTCTGCGATTCCCACCTGCTCTATGGTGTCACCCATCCTGGGTTTGTTTTTTATATTAATTTCTCAATTTGAGAGTTCTGGGATTGTGTGAGAAATACAAGTTTACACGTTAACTTGGTGCCAGGAAAGGTTTAGATTTACCATTTCTCCAGAGGATTCTTTTTGTGTGTTTCTGGCAGTTAGGGAAGAGCTGAGTCCCCACACGCCGCCTCTGCACAGGGGTGATCCCGGGCTTGGGCCCAGTTCTCCTCAGACATCCTGGTTTCGATTCTCTGCTGGCCCAACCCCAGGGCCGCATCCCTGCAGAGGCCCAGTGCAAGCTCTTTAGCTACCAAGGTCGTCAGAGGCCAACATCTTGCCTCAGCTCTGTCCCCACAACCGGCTACCCCAATACCCCACAGCTCTATTTTCTCTTTGTTTTCTGTCTCCAGGGATTTTCTTTGAAAACTATCTTAGAAACTTGAGTTTTTAAAAAGATGCCTGTGGTTTATTACCTAGTGTCTCCAATATTTTGTATATTACAGAAGGTTCTACCCATCATGCCCCAGACCAGGGCTCCACTCTCTGGACTAATTTCGGAGATGGCTCCCCCATACCTTGTCTGATGTGCCCCACCTCACTCAGCTGCTCACAGTAACGGAAGGCATGAGCTTGGGAAGGGGACAAGGGGCACGAGGGGCTGACACTACCTCTGGAGTAGTTTCCCAGGAGCCTCTAGAATTACACACCTAAATCCCTGGTGGTCTTCACAAGACGGCTGGTGTCAAGTCATCTCAGAGCCGGGGAGCTTCGGGAACAGACTTCCAGGCTCTCCTCAGTGGCACTTGGGTTAGCAGGAACTGGAGCAGCCTCAAACCCATTCGTAAATATCCCCCTGGGCCCTCTGCCTAATTCTCTCTCAAGGTGTTCCAGGCTGAATGTACCAGCCGTCTCCCCCAGATACCCCTTGTAGAGGTTGTAAGTTAACATCAGAGGTGTCTCTCCATCACTGTCCACCTTAGTGTTTGAGACAGGGTCTGTCATTGAACCTTGAGTTTACCAATTAGCTAGACAGACTGCCCAGCAAAACCTACGGGCCCTCCTGTCTCTGCCTCCCTTGTCCTGGGATTATGACCAGCACCACACCCGACTTTCCCCCTAGGTGCTTGGATTCGAACTCAGTTCTTGTGCTTGTGTGATAAGTACTTTGCCCACCAAGTCATCTCCCCAGCTATCTCCTCACTGGGTTCTTGGCCTGTGAGCAGTGCCAACACTTACGTCTTTGCCTATACCTCATATACTGCGTAGTTTTTATAGGTTCCTTCTAGAAAATTCTAAAGGCACTTATCACCAAATCCCACACATTCCAAAAATCCTGGATTCTAACTACTTTTTGTCCTGTTGCCTTAAGTGTCCAGGCCTCTTCATCCCCACAGAGGTTCTTTCTAATCTCACCCTATAGTGGCCCTGGTCACACACACCAGGACTCTTCTGGTTCATGCTTGCCTTCCAGATACTCAGCGGGCCTGGGGTTCCAGGACTCGGCCTTTCTTCCCTGTCACTTCCTCTGTGGCTCACCACTGAAGAGCAGGTGCCTGTGTGCCCTGCCTCTGCAGGCTAAGGACCTTCTGAAGTGCGAGCCCTCGGCAGCCAGCATCTGGATGAAGGATTGTCTCGTAGCGTCCTCATCTGGCCTGGGATAAGGGATGTGACTTTTTTTTTTTTTTTTGAAAAACAGGGTTTCTCTGTGTAGTCCTGGCTGTCTTGGAACTCACTCTATACACTAGGCTGGCCTCTAACTCAAGAGATTCGCCTGCCTCTGCCTTCCAAGTGCTGGAATTAAAGGCCTGTGATACAATGGCCCAGCGGGACACACCTTTTTTTTTTTTTTTTTTTTGGTTTTTTGAGACAGGGTTTCTCTGTGTAACTTTGGAGCCTGTCCTGGCACTCGCTCTGTAGACCAAGCTGGCCTCGAACTCACAGAGATTCCCCTGCCTCTGCCTCCTAAGTGCTGTGATTAAAGGCATGTGCCACCAATGCCCAGTGGGACATGACATTTTAATGTAGTTTATCTGACCACCTGCTTCACACAGTTCAACATAGACCGAAAAACCATTTGTGTTGCAGCTTTTCCAAATCAACCAATTAAGCTTGCAAACAAATGGTCATTCTCACCCCATACCACGCCCACTCCTCACCTGGCCCAAGTCTGAGTTCCACCTCGTCTCTGACCTTACTTACCCCTGGGATATGACCCCCAATTTAGAGAAGAGGATGGGGACCGGCTAGGCACTGCCCACCTGCTGCAGAGAAGATGGGAAATCAGACCCTAGAGTAGGCCTGCTCTTAGCTCATGGTGCGGGGGTCCACCACTCCTCCCTCAAGAAATGTGGGGGTCCCTCATTAATCTACCAACAAACAACAACTGAGCTGCTCAGCAGGGGCAAGCAAGGCCCGTGTTAAGAGACAACAGGTGTTACCTATTGCCCTGTCCCCAAAAGGCAGCGTTCTGCCTCTGTCCGGAACAGCTTGGGACTCAGGGCAACTGACGGATCTAGAGCGGAGGGCCACTTTCAGCAAATGAACTGACTGGCCCCTTTACCTGCTCCTGCAAACAACTCACAGGCCTGGACGCCGGGAAGGGATTCTGGCTAAGGCGACTCAAGAGTTACGAAATGGCCCCAGCACTGAGATTAAAGGAGCGGTGGTGTCTCACGCATGTAATCCCAGCATTCAGGAGACAGGGCGGGAGCATCTCTGTGAGTTTGAGGTCAGCCTGGTCTACAGAGAGTCCCACTGCTAGGCATAGTGATGCACGCCTGCAGTTCCTGCACATGGGAAGTAGAAGCAGGAGGATGAGGAGTTCGAGGCTAGCCTCGGCTACCTAATGAGTCTGAGGCTAGCCTGGGCTGTATGAGACTGTTTCAAGAAACAAAACTCCACAGCTGAGAGCTTCCCAGAAGTGAAACAGCGAGGCTGGTGTTCAAGACTGTGGCCAGGTGTCAGTGACAGGAAGCAAACGCAGGCCCGCCTTCCTGCTCTCCCGGAAGGTCTTTTTCTCTTGCTCACACGCACCTGCTGTGCTTGCTGGCCAAAACAGAGGCGCAGCCAGCCCAGCCCTGCCTGTCAGCTGCTGCAGAGCATCAGATATGTTAGTTACGGAGTCTGATAAGGTGGGTCTGCAGTGCCCCGCCAAGTGGGTGCTCAGAGCTGCCAGCACATGGGAGAAGACAGCCGTGCCCGGAGGGGGACAGAAGAGACCACAGGCCAATGCCAGGCGCAGCCAGGACAGAGCCTGCAGGTCAAGTGGAACAGGCAGGCACTTGGGCAATGGCAGCAGTCTTGAAGGACATGTATTGGGGTAGGTGACGAAGAGAGGACACCTTGCAGACTGAGGGCACTGAGCTCCGAGGCGGTTTGCAAGAGGGTTTTCCGGATCCCTGTTGGGATGCGGGCAAGAATGGAGATCTACAGCCCATGGCAAAGATGCCCCTAAAGGGAACAGGCTGGGCAGCACAGGAGCCGCAAGGTGGGGAGGCACGAGGGAGACTGGACAGGGAGACATGTGCCTGGGGTGCGGTGGGAAGAGGGGGAGTGGCACCATGCTCATACCTGACCAACAGGCATTCATGGCATGTGACAGATGGAGCCACAGCTGGGTTGCAGCTCAGCTGAATTATGTCTAAGGCTGTTGCCTGCTTATGTCCTCAGAGATGGCTCATGGCACAGAGAAATGTGAAAGACCCCACTCTCTGACCATGAGTGGGAATCAGGGGCAAAGGCAGCCATATATTCCCTCAGGTCTATGTGCCCCTGGGTTCTTGAGTGACATGACAACCTCATGGGCTCCTAGCTCTCCACTCCTGCCATGTGCCTACTAGTCAAGACTCATATTTCCAAAAAGAGGAGACCTGTGTTCCTGGCCAAGTGCCCTGTGGGCATACAGTTGACTCTGACTGGGCATTGGGGGGGTGGGGGACTTTGTAATGGTTGAGGATTGACCCAAAGCTGACACTATCCTCATGGAAGATACTTTGCCCTCGTTAAGCGTTTTAGATTTATTTTTTTAAAAAAGGTTCATATATGTGAATCCATGCATATATATGTGCATGTGAGTGCAGGTGCCCTTGGAGGCCAGAGGCATCAGATATCCCCTGAATATCTGGAATTGCAGATGATTGTGAGCCACCCTACATGGGTGCTGGGAATTGAACTCAGGTCTTCTGCAAGAGCAGTATGTACTCTTAACCTCTAAGCCATCTCCAGCTTCTTAATGTGTGTGTGTGTGTGTACACGTGTGTGTGCATGAAGTAATGTAAGGGTAAAGCATATCACGTCGTGAGTGTGGAGATTATAAGACAATTTTTCAGAGTAGGCCGCCCACCTTCCCCTTTTATGTAGGACTGAACTCAGATTGCTAAATTTCACACCAAGTGCCTTTATCTGCTGTGCCACTCAGTGACCGGGTCTGATGTTTGCCCAGCGTAGTGGCTCATACCTATAGTCTCACTTCAGGAGACTAAGGCAGGAGGGTTGCCATGAGTGTGAGGCCATGGGGACCAGAAGAAATGAGGCAGACACACCATCCAGGGGACTGGGAGTAGCTTCGGAATGTGACAATTTATTTGGGGGTGAAAGAGGTCTCACCTCCTTTTCCTGGCATCGATACAATATTGAAGAGCAGCAGAACAAAACGAACAAGACAGAGTGATCAGCACGAGCCCGCCCTCCCCTGGCCCAGAATCTACGGAACCCACATCCAAAATAAGCTACCCTCCCCACCAGAAGTCCTCCCCGAGGGGCAGGGCAGACTGGGGGCCCACCCCTTTGTCACCGGCCAGCTTCACCATGTCCCCGTCATTAGCCACTGGAGGCAAAGTTTAGCCAGCTGGGAGCTGGATGGTTGAACCACAGACAAAGGCAGACACGTCACCCTTAAAACGCGAGAGAAAAGAGACAGTGCCCGTCCCCAAATATAGAGCTATGTACGTATATTATATATATATAGAATCCATTCGTGCAGTTCATCAAATGAGCTTCTTAAAAATTAAAACAAAATTATAAGATACATATTTCTTTAGGCCTTTGTGTTTTTAAGTTAAAACCGACAAAAAGATGCCTGCTTCACCCCTCGGCACCGGTGTGCCTGGCACTTGACCCCTTCCTTCCACCCGGCCTCTTCAGACCCTCTGGCTCCATCACCTAGCTGACGCTCTGCGTACAGCGGGAGTGGAGTCCTGACTCCTTTACGGGACAGAGGGACCTGTAGGCTGGGAAGCGGGTCCTTACCCCCACCCAACCTTCCCGGTGGTGGCTGTCAGAAGGGGTGCCGAACCCCACTCTCTGGGCTTCATGAACCAAGAAGAGAAGCAGACAACCAAAACTAAAACCCTTAAATTTTCTCTTTTCTGTTAAAAAGTGATTCCTTGAGCCACAGAAGCCCCAGAGAGGCAGCCTTGGCCTAGTGCACCGGAACCCAAGGGCAGAGCCGACCAGACAGGGTTCCACCCTCCATTGAAGTGCAAAACAAAACAAAGAAGAAAAGAAAGCCAACCAAACAAACCAGAAAGGTAAGGGAAAGGGGTAGGGCCTCTCAGGTCCCCAGATGTCAGAAAGGCTGGCAGATGCCCAGATGCTTGACTGGCCTAGTTTCTGCTAGGGACAGCTCTCTAGTCTAGACAACAGCCAGCCCAAGTTTTAAGTCCTCATCACTCCAGAAGTAGCTTAACCTCCTTTGAAAGAGACAATTCCCCCTCCCACCGAAGCAAGGGTGGCTTGCCCAGAGGAAGGAGGCTCATTTTGCTCCCTTAGGGGATGTGGGCAGCTGGAGGCCCCAGAGTGCTTTGTGCAAGGCCTTGCTGCTCAGTACAGCCCTTTCACAGAGGGGCTGACTAACCGGGGATGGGCCCCACCCAACCTTCCAGCTCAAAACCCAAGACCCCAGGGACTCACCTACTTCCACTTCCTGACAAGTGGTTGGGAAGGGTGCATTTACAGGGAGGGCATGACCACCAGGGAGGTCACTTCACATACAAAAATAAAGCAAATCGGACTGCAACTTCTGCTTGGTGATTAGGCAAACGAAAAGCAGCAAGGGTGGAGGGGGCCTGCAGAAGGCTGAGGGTGCAAGGTTGTGTGGGGTCCGTGTAGCACCCCAGGCCATCCAGGAGAGGAAGAAGGGCTCTCTCTGCTCGGCAGCAGTCCCGGGCATTGCCCCCGTCCAGGCCTTACGCATGAGTTACCCCATTGGCGGCTTCTGAAGCCCGCATCCCTTTCCTAACCAGGGGAACTCAAGGGTGACTTGGTCTCCAGGGTGACATGACCCAGCAAGCTGGTGGAAAGTAACAGCACGCGGATGAGAAGTCTCCCTGGGGGGGAAAGCACAGTGAATCTATTCCCCAGGGAGTCCCGCAACCGCCACCTGCCTGAGCTTCCTGCTAGCTCCCTGGGAACTACCTCTCAAGCAAGGGCTGGAATAGAACCTGTTCCTAGGTCACCAAAGAACACTTGCCCTGCTGCTGCATGGCCATCTATGGTGCCTTTGAGCCTGGAGGACCCACCAGCTAGCTCAGGGCTCACCCTACCCCAAGGATGCCATCTCACCTGTGCAATCGCTGCGTTACTATGCTCTCTTTAAATAGCTTTCTCCCTCCAACCCCACACTTAGGAATCACAATATTTTTTTCTACTTTTTCTTTTCTTTGTTTTTTTTTTAACTTTTTAAAAATTTTTTTCTTTTTTTTTCCCATTTTTTGCAAAACTAACTCTTTCACTTTCCTGTCATAAAATCACCTCTGAAAACACAACTTCTTTACAAAAAAGGTCACAAATGACACAGACTCTCGGGAAAACACATTTCTATGGTCTCTGCAAACACCTGTAACTGGCACCCAGGTGGTGGCTCACCTGGGAGAGGGGAGGGGGAAATCGCCTCTGGGGACAGAGGTGAAATACCAGCCCTTATTTGGGGGAAAAGCCAATTGGCACTTGGACGGCATCAGGGTTCACACAGGACAAAGTGGGCCCTGGACTGTGGCCCTCTCAAACCCTGTGAGGAGCCGTTTCATACTCCGGGGCGAGGGGGGCTGTGCTGTGCAGCAGACCCTGGCAGGGGGTGGGAAGGAACAGCACCTTCCCCTAAGACCAGAATTCTTGTCCTCGGGTCAGCTGGCGGCTCCTTTTACCACGCTGAGCAAGGTACCAAGGGCCAGGCGCACCAAGAGCCGGCCCAGGATACACAGGAACATCCCACTCAACACCCAAGTGAATCCTAGGCAGTGGCCGAGGGCAGGCCAGTGGAGTCCCTAGTGCTGCCTGGCCTGCAACTGGGGCTTTGGTCTCGGCCATCAGCATGGATGCCTCGGTTCCCTAGCAGCAGAAGGCAAGCGAAGCTGCCCAAGGCACCCAGAGTTTTCCAACAGGCTAGACTGCCAGGGAGCTCAGCAGTCGAAAGCAAGCCAGAAGGGTGGGAGAGACCGGAGGGCTCTAGGGCTCTTCTCTCCTCCACCAACATCTGCAAGGAGAGGCTGGAGCTGGGTCCTCCCCCACCACAGTCCCCACCACGCTACGACTGCAGTCTGAAGGGCCTGAGGGGTTCATGTCCCCCAGGAACCTGGGGTTGGAAAAGAGGCCTGTGGCTTCCACGGCAAACCGCACGGACTGGACTGTGCCAGGCCTGGCTAAGGCAAGGGAGGCCACGCCTTTAGTGACCCTGTTCTAAGAAACCGTAAGGGGTGTTGCAGGAAAGCCTGAGGCCCTGCACCCAACACACACATGGATCCACGCAAGAACAAGCCAAGGGGCAAACGCACATGCAGGGAAGTTTCCACAGCAGGTTCCTGCAGCACCTTTGGTAGAAAACGTGGGGGCTTTCAGATGCCCAGAGGCTGCAGCAGGGTGCTATGTCTGCCAGCCCCTCCACCGGCAAAGGGGTTCTGGATGGAGACAGGGCGTGGGGGGCATAAGATCTGTGTGGGCCTGGTCCAGATGTAGGGCAAGCAGGGAAGGGGACCTCTGGCCCCGCTGCCGCCACCCTCGATGGCGCTGAGGGAGGAGCCCATGTTGGCATCAGCCTTCACTCGGTCCCAGGTGGCACTAAGAGACTGTGCCCACCCTAGGAGGGGCTTCCTAGGGGCCCTGACGCTGCTAAGATAGCACCGAGACCAGACACTGCACACAGAGCAAGAAGCAAGCGAGAGAGGCAGGGTGGGGTGTAGGTAGGGCAGGTGAACCCCAAGTTCTTGGACTTCCCCAGAAGCCACCTACTGGGCCCCACCTGCAGAGTCAGGGACAGTGCCAGGGACACCAGGGAGCACTTCTCCCTTCCTGTGCCCTAACCACATCCAGGACTACGCAGCCCCATCCCTGGGTCAACACCGAGCCATCGGAGGCAAGCAAAGCACAGGCAGACGGGTCTGAGGGCAGGGACGGGGTGGGAGCGCAAGTATGATTCTAGGAAGGAGGCTCCCCCCAAAGCCTTCCTCCTTGGGGAAGCCCCTCACTTGCTTGGCCCGGTGCCACCACCACCCCCGGCAGCACCTGCCACACCCGCAGCCACCTTCTCGAAATCCTCAGGGCTGCAGAATTCCTTGATGGTCACGGTCAGGAGGTTGCTGGTGACATCCGTGACGACCACGTTGGAGCACGGCGACATCTCAGGGCGCCAGTCTCCAGCCTCGGGCTCAGAGGAGCAGGCACCTGTGGGCTCCAGGGCTGCGTGGAGCGCTTGGCCTGCAGCAGCAGTGACATCAGGAGGTGCCCGTTGGCCGGTGGCTGCCACCTCAGGAGGGATGGACAGATCGAGCACCTCTGGCTCTCGCCAGTTGGGAGCAGATCGGCTCATGGTCTCAGGGAGTAGCTTGGGTGGTGCATCGTCTGGGTCAGAGGACTGCAGTGTGGGTGACGGGCAGCCGGAAGAGCTGGAGCTGTGTGCGTCATAGGAGGCAGCTGCTGGAGTGGACAGGAGCAGCCCAGGCCCGGAGGAGGCCATGTCGGCTTTGCCTGCAGTAGAGGGCGCCAGAGGGGTGGGTGGGGGCTTGTACAGCGCAAAGGTGCCAAACTTCATGTGGCGGATCTGGGTTCGCAGCATGCTTTCGCTGAACTTCTTGCTCTTCCCAATGACCCGGTTCCGTGATGGGACTTTGGGGCGGGCAAGCGCCCCTGCACCCTGCGCAGTGCTGCCTCCTCCCGGACCCTTGTCAATCACCTTCAGGTTCAGGATGATGCGGTTGCGCTTGGGCTCCCGGGGCTTCACCTTGCGGTTGATGATGCGCACGGTCTCAGAAAAGGGCGAGATGGGTGGGCGCAGGCCAGGGCTGCCCCCTTGTGGGTCTGGTCGGGGCAGGGGACGGCGGGACATGCGGTGACAGCGGCGGATGTCTTTCTTTAGCCGGTGCACCGCGGCACTGGAGTGCAGCTTGGGGGAGGAGGCGCTGGCGCTCGGCTTGACAGAGAAGTGCACATCACTGATGCGGAGGGCCTCGGCCTGGGCCCGGGCCTGCGGGCAGAGGGGCGTGGGTGGGATCTCAAGACTCATAGCAGCCCCCGGACACCCCTCAAGCCACACAGCCCTACGCTCTGTCAACATATATTCAGGAGACTACCAGAACAATCAGTGACTTATGACCCTTCAGACAGAAGAGGACTGGGGAGCAGGGGCCAGCTCAGATGGTAGAGTGTTCACCTAACATGCACGGGGCCTAGGTTCCCCAGCACAACATAACCCTGTCACCCATCACGGTGGGGCACACCTGCAATCGCAGGTGGATCAAAGTTCAAGGTTATCTTCAGCGACACAGTATGTCTGTTACACGACACTCTTAAGACTTGATCTTTCTACTACCACTAAGTGTGCACGTGTGTGTGTGTGGAGGGGTGTTCCACAGGCCACTCTTGTGACTCAAGAATGACATGGACCATGTGAGGGAAGCTTCCATGAAGGATCCCAGCCAAGCCGGGGACTCTTCCCAGGGCTAATTCTCGATGACAGTAGACCCTCCCTGCTTCTACCTTCCGGCCACATCCCCGACTCCACAGACGACCATCAACTTCAACTCTAGAGAGGCCCTTGTCCCAGCCTGCAGGCCCTCATCCTACCCACACCGGTGAATCTCAAAACCTACACCCAGAAGCCAGTACCAGAATCCAACGGAAGCCTTTGGTGACCATGCAGAGATGAGTGGGAGCTCTGAAAAGCCCCAGAGTTCAACAGCAGTTCAGCGGCTACCTCACGGGAACCTGCCCCAGAAAGGCCCTCCAGCTCAGGTTCTACCCCAACCCACGCCTTGCCAGAAGACTTAGAACGGGCAGTAGCCACAGACTCCTCCATGGCAGCCCATCCTTCACTGAGAAGGATGAGGGCCAGCCACTCAGGTCCAGGAATGACATTCCCAAAAGCTGCTGTCGTCTCTGGAGAAGGCAGTGACTTTGTGCAGTGCAGGGAAGACCAGACCCCACCCAGACATGGAGAGAACCTCAGCAGTTCCTAAGGCCACACCCCCATACTGTGAGGATGCAGGGGCAGGAGTTGACAGCTGTGGCTGCGGACACTCCGGTTCCAGTGGGACAAAGCACCTGGCTAGGTTGTGACTGCCTTAACCTAGTTGGGAGACTTTAGGTAGGGAAGAGTGGTTCATTCCCATGGTTAATCTGTCGGGACCCCCAGGAGGAATCTGTGTTTGGCGGAGCTCTTCATCTCCAATCCGACACACTGGATGCTTACTCAGTACAAAGAGACAGCCTGTACGCCCGACTGGGCTCTCCTGGCTTGCAGTGAACCAAGGGAGAAATACACATTAAGACACTTGGCTCTGCACCAAAGCTAGGGAGTCGCTGTCAACACCCATTGACACTAGGTGGCCACACACAGACAGGCACCGCTAGGGGCTCCTTTCTGCATTCAGCGAGTTCCCTTTCCACTCCTTCCCAGCCACATCCCGGGAGTTTAAGAATCTCTTCAGAAACCAGAGGGTGGCCTCCACTCACTCTGCGTCTTGCCGCCACTCTCAGGCCTGGTTTTTTGTTCTGGTGTTTTGGACGTGTATATACACAGATGCCCACATTAGCCAGGGCGATCTCTCAGTTCCAGGTGTCTGGGGTCTGCCCCTCTGATAGAACAACGCACTCTCAGCTGCTGAGCCGTCCGTCTCTCCAGTCCCCACACTGACTGGCTGGGTGCGACCGAGGTCCAGTGGTGACAGGCAGAGAACAGGTACAAACAGTGGACACAGGATGACAGTCTCCAAACCAGTCTCCCTTTGTGTGTGACCCTAATGGGTCCTGCCATAATGCTCTCCTGTGGTCAACACCAGAGCCCCTGCTGACCACACATCTGGAGGCAAGCAGTATTTGGAATAAGCTACAGTTGCCTGTAGATACCAGGCTTCTGAGAAACCAGCTTTCCCTAAGGTATGCTTTCAAACTGTCTATAAGAACCATCTCACTTTACCAGGTCTAAACAGTATTGCATAAGATACTATTCTTGGGCTGGAGAGATGGCTCAAAGGTTAAGAGTAATGGCTGCTCTTCTAGAGGACCCAGGTTCAGTTCCCAGAACCCACATGGCAGCTCACAACTGTCTGCAATGCCAATTCTGAGGATCCTCTTCTGGCCTCCAAGGGCACCAGGCACACACATACATACATATATGCAAACCTTTAAATTCTAAGAAACAATGTATTTTCCTCAGGTTGAGGACCTAGGTCTGTCTAGTGCATTTCAAAAGTCACTGCAGATATAGTCACTGCACTCTGACATGACATGTGGCTCCAGAGTTTGGGATGTACAAGACAGCATCTAGACACTGCCGATAGCTCCCTGTGATGGTGCTCAAATTATTGGCCTGTTTTCTTTTCCCAGATGTGAAACAGGCATATGCCTGCAATCTCAAAACGGCTCCATGGTGCTCACTGGCCGAAAATGTTAAGTGCATTTTGTTGAACAGCCTCCTAGTCACAGAGCAACAGGTCCACCCCAAGCTACCTCTACATCCCTTTGTGTCCTGCTGTTTCCTAAATTCTGGAGTAAGCAGCTCTGTAGGCAGCTCCACTCCCTGCACTAGCGACTCTCAGCCGCGTCTTGAAACTATTTCCATTTGTGAAATGGAGAGAATACTCCCAACTCCACTGGGATGCTGAGGATATTAAAGATGACTCTAGCAGAGATCTCAGCGCTGTTGGGATCACACGCAACCCAGAAACTACAACTTTTTAAGAAAAAGGTATTTTGATAATTGATGCTTAAGATCATTACCGTCTTGGCCACTAGAGGGAGCTCCAGCTGCGCTGAGACGCTGTCAACACAGCCCACCAGTCTTCCAGCTGCTCCGCCCACCCCTCCCTACCCGCAAGCATCCGGGTTAAGGTTGCTGCGTTAATGCCCGAAGATGCACCGCGATTGGGGGTGGGGAGTAGGGTACAAAACTATAGAATTCTGGAAACCAGTATTTTTCCCACTTTTGCTTTTGGTCCAAGGCTAACCCTTACGACCAGTCTGTTGGCTAGGGGTGGGGGGGCCGAGTCAACGGGACTGGTCTACCCCGCCCCCCCTGAGCATGGAGTGCTTTGGACAAATTCGAGATTATGCGGTTCTACATCTTGCATTCTCTTCTCCAAGGAGCCCTTCCTGTTCTTCTGGTGCCAAATTTGTTGGGAAGGAAACCTGAGGCATCCTTAGTCCTTCAGGGAAACTACGGTGGCCTCATGAGGCCACCTGCAGCCTTGGCTTAAGTGGACAACACCGGTCGACTTGCTTTCCTCTTTCCAGGCTCTGTTCTTCCCTCATCAAACAAAACAAAGCAAAACACTGCTAACTCTCTAAGATGGCCTCCTCTTAAATTCTTTGCTCCCTCACCCCATCTTCACTGGAACCTCCAGAAATATTCAGGATTGGGGGCAAGACAGGCTCAGGACCCGAATGCTGCGAGTCCAGTGAGGATGCTCAAGTTTAAGTAATTTAAGATCAAATTGAAACTGGGCCCTCAAGTGCCAAGGGGAAGGCCCAGAATGCACTCTAAGAGGTGTGGGCAGCTACAGGGAGGGGAGGTGGGCCGCTTGCCTGGAGGTGAGCCTATACTCACTAGCTCCGAGGCCTTAACACACAGATCAGGACAGTGTGTTCAGGCTGGGGAGATGACGGGTCTCAAGCAGAAAGAGCTTCCTGGTCACCTCCTCCCGTGAGTTTTCCCCGACCTGCCTCACCCACCCCCTTCCCGGAGCCCACCCCCCAACCCCAATCCCTGGTTTTCATCCCCGATTACCCCACTCCCAGGCCCCTCTGGCGGGGCTGGCGGCGGCCTGCTGCCAGGGACTTGTCAGGGACTCACAACCACCCCCTGTCCAGCTGGGGCCCCTCTGGAAAAGCCTGCCCGCCTAGGCAGCGGTGGATCTGTCCCTCCCTTGCAGGCCCTGTGCTGCGCCCTGGCTGGGGGCCCACGAGGGGGCTGCTGGGGCTGGGCCAGGTTACCTTTAGGAGGAAAGTTTTGGGTTTGGGTCCTCTCTTCTTGGGCCCATACAGCTCACGTTCCCTTTCCCTGCAGCCAAGAAACGCCAAAAAATTAAGTGTCCCTTCCAGGGCCCCACTCCCCGGCCCAGCCCGGGTTTCCCGCTTCCCTGCACGGCGCCCCACCGCGCCAGCCGGCTTGCCCAACTCACTTCTGCTCGAAGGCTGCGATGAGCCTCGAATCCAAAATGTTCTCCTCTGGCTCCCAAGTGCTGTACCTGCCGAGTCACGCGTGCAGAAAAGCAAAATGAAAACCCAAGGGGGCAGAGGCACACCTCGAGGACGCAAGCACGCACCCCCCGCCCAAGGCCCGAGTGCCTTCCCTTCTTGCTGCCTCCCTGGTCCCCACGCCACCGACCCCACGTTACTCACTTGATCGCCCACCCCTTCCATTTCACCAGGTACTCGATGCGTCCCTGAAAAACAGAAAGGGGGAAAAAAAATACGGGGTGGGGGTGGGGAAGATGCAGAGAAGCGAGGAGGCGGCGGCGCGGGGGTGGCCGAGGAAGCCGGGCTAGCGGGACCGCTGCGCCCCGAGGGCCCGCGGGCTCCGACACGGCCGGGGGGAAGCGCAGGGCCGTCCGGGCCGAGGGCTCACCTTGCGGATCCGGCGTTTGATGATGGATTCGGCCGCGAAGACCCGCTCGCCCACTGCAGACAGCTCCATCTTGCTCAGAGGCACCCACAGCCCATAATACTCCCTGCTCCCGCGGCCGGTGCTGCACCGCTCGCGCACGCGCCCCAGCGCTCAGGCCCCCGGCGGGCGGGCGCTCGGCGGGGCGCGCGCTCGCGTTCCAGCTGCGGGCCGTCACGTGACGCTCGGGGCCTGAGCTCGGTTGCCAGGACCTCCCCCTCCCCCGGGGCGGTTGCTAGGGAAAATGAGTGCTCGCGGGGCGGGGGCGCTCGCAGGCTCTTAAAGGGGCCTGTCCTCTCCGCCGCAGTCCTGGCAGAAGACTGATGGATGCGTGGCTGGTGCCAAGCCGGTGGATGTGCAGTGCAATTTTACATTGTGCTGCTTCGTCCTGAAGGGCCAGGATCCCTGCAACCTCCTACCCTCCTTTTAACTCCCCATGCCAGAATTGCCCGGCCCTGGACAGAGAGATGCGATGAGTCCCCCGAGCCTGCAGGCGCTGGGCATCCGCCTGCAGACGTTTGCAAACAGTTAAATATGATACAGCAGAAATGCATTTGCTGCAGCTTTGCCAGGCCTTCTGGGGATTTCTTTAATACATCACCCCATCCATTATTTATGTATTCGTGGGAGTGTGGTTTTGTAACCGGTTCAGATGAGTTAAAACAAAAACGCCATCGCAGGAAAGTGGGGATGGAGGCGGAGGTGTCCCAGGTCTGCTGCGACCCCGGTCTTGAGCAGCACCTGCAAGTAGACCTCGAGGGCGCCCGTGTTTGTAAAGCAAAGAGGGAGAGGTCTCAGAAGAGAACCGCCTGGATCCCTCGATTGAGTGCGAAGCGGGCTTTCCTTAGGTCACTCCGCAGAACCCTCCCCCGTGGTCACATCTGTTTTCGGATTTTGAGGCCGCAGGCCACACCAACTCTCCTACAGCTCACAGACGCGGGGATGACTCCACCATTGAACTTGGGGAGGCGCAAGCGGGATCTGGACCTGTCCCTCAAGGACGTAGCCCATCTCGCGAAACCTTCCATTCTGTTTTGAAATTATCTAATCTTATTTTCCATTAGGCCAATGGCCATGTTCTTTGCAAAACAAAAAAATATTGAACACATACAGATACGGAAATGAAGAGTCAGCAGTACAGTCCATAACCTGCATAAAACCTTTAGTATCTTCTAGTAGTGTTCTTCCCCCAAAGCCAGGCCTGCACGACTCTGCACACACACATCACCCACGTGTACAGTACATTCTATATATTTAAATGTTTAAACAACATAGGTTTGTATTACTTACACTGTTTTTCCCTGATGATATTGATTGAACGTTAACACACATTTTGCCCGATTCACTGCTTGTCTAGGGCTGGCCTGGGTGGGGGATGGGTGCTTGGAAGGGTCAGGATTGTCTCTCGACTCCGTGATTGAGTTATTAGGAAGGGTGTGTATCGTCTCTGCTGTAACACCATCTCTTGGAGGAGCAAATCCACCATATCAAAATCTCAGCTTTCCGTCTTTGCGCCACTACAGATACATATAGAGGGACAGACATTAAATTGACTGAAATCCTTCTGCCCCCTCAAGACCTTTATGCCATTGAGAAAGTGCTCTTAGCTGCCATGATGGGAAGACCAAGGTGACCTTCACCTGAATAGAGAGCTGATCTCCTGGGGCAGTGTGGATGAGCAAGCAGGTTGAATGTGTGGGCCTCTGTGCAATCGAGCTTGCTGAGGAGGCCACAGATGAAGAAAGTGCCCAGCAGTCCACCATGGGATCCCTTGGCCACCTCCGTGCCCTGCCATGAGGGCCAGACCAGTGAGAAAAGTGTTTACCACACAATGCGGACGGTTCCATCACGAGGTGGATTAGCCTCCCGCAGCTGCTCTAACAAACAGCCCCAAATTTATCAGTTTGGGACGGCACACTCTAGAGGACAGAAAGTCCAAGTCAATGTCACTGAGCTGAAGTCAGGGCTGAGGGAGCTTGAAAAGACAGCTCCCGGCCTCAACTGGTTCTAGAAGCTGCTGTCACTCCTTGGTACACGGCTCTGTTGCTCAGTTCTTTAAACCTGTCGCCACTTCACCACCACTGACTACCCTCCGGCTTCTTCTAAAGGACCCTGAGGTTATGTTGACCCAAAATAAAATCTCATCCCAACACCGTCCCCTCTGACCCAGGCTGTGTTCCCCTCTCTGGACTTAGTTTCTGTTTCACTTCTTTCTTCTGTGTGTGTGTGTGTGTGTGTGTGTGTGTGTGTGTGTGTGTGTGTGTATGTCTATGTGTATCTGTGTGTGTCTGTATGTGTGTATCTGTGTGTGTATGTGTGTGTGTGTATCTGTGTGTGTATGTGTGTGTGTCTGTGTGTGTCTATGTGTATCTGTGTGTGTCTGTATGTGTCTCTATGTGTGTCTGTGTGTATCTGTGTGTCTCTGTGTGTGTCTCTATGTGTGTCTATGTGTATCTGTGTGTTTGTCTGTGTGTCTGTGTGTATCTGTGTGTGTCCTGTGTGTCTGTCTGTCTGTCTGTGTACAAGTTCATGAGTGCACATGCATGTAGCAGCCTGAGATGAACATCAGGAGTCTTCCTCTGTCACTCTCCCTCATTTTTTGAGACAGGGTCTCTCAACTGAACCTGTAGCTTGGTGACGGGTTGGACTGGCCCACAAACCCCAGAGATCCTCAGTGTACTACAACCCAGTGTTGAGACTACTGTACTACTGTGCCTGGCTTTTTATGTGGGTGTTCTGAATTCAAATCTGTGGCCAGCACTTTACAGACTAAGCCAGCTTCCCAGCCCCTCACCTTAATTTTCAGTGGTTTATAACACCTTTTAATCAATGACCATCCTGAGAATTGTTATGTCTTAATTTGTTTTTAAAATGAAATATTTATAGCCCCCCACCCCTACCCAAGCCTGTATGGTGTCTGTGGACTGCTAGGGACAAAGTTTCCTCTACTTTTCTCACAAGCTGTCCTGATGTTTGATTCAGTACCACAAAGACAACACTTTCCCAGGCTGTGTGAGCCTCTGTTCATAGAGAAATGGTCCTCTTATTTCAATGGTTCTCCACTTTCCTGATGCTGCAACTGAATTTAGTTCCTCATGTTGTGGTAATTCCAATCATAAAATTATCTCATTGCTACTTCATAACTGTAATTTTGCTGCTGTTATGAATCATAATGTAAATTCAACATGTGACCCAAAGAGGTCATGACCCACAGGTTGAGAACCGTTACCTGGAGTACAAGCACATAGGTGTATCTGTGAGATGTCAGAATGTATTACCTCTCCTTGTTCTGTTTGTTGGCTGGTTCAGCTGAAGGTTTTCTTTCTGGGTTGTGTCCAGGGTCATCACTGGGGTTACAATGAGAGAGGCTGAAGCTGGCTGTTGGTCCCCTTGTCTCCTGATGAGCTCTGGTTATTCCCTGCACTAGCTCAGGGTTCCTCACACCTGCAGAAGCCCTGAAGGACCAACTGCGGAAGTCACTTCCGTCGATGCATCCTGCGGTCATCGCAAGACACAAACTCAAGGTTCCTAGTGCATATATACCCTGTGCCACCCCTTCCCCTCAAGCGTGGGAGAGCTTGTGGAATGGACTTGGATTGTACTCCTACAGCTCAGCTGGGTTCTCTGGGACAAGTACAGTGGCTTTGCAGAAGTGTTTAAGGTCCCTAATTAGCTAACCCTGGACTGCTCAAAGGGGGGTTAGACTGGCAGACTTTCCTAACGGGAAAGATCTGACCCACAGAGCTGCCATCCAGTTAGCCTTGAAGAAGCAAACTGCCACACTTCAAAGGGAAATGCCAGGAATGGGGCATGGCTTCTAGAAACGGAGGACTTCCATCCTACAATCCCAGGCAATGGAATATGTCAGTAGCTCAGGAGCTTGGTATGGTCTGAGCTTCCAGATGAGAATGCAGCCCTGCTGACACCTTGATGACCGTGTAGGAGACCAGAACACAGACTCTGGTTTGTTGACCTGTAGGTGTAGATATAATAAGCTTGAGTTGTGTTCACCACTAAATTGCAGCACTCAACTCTCATGGTTGGGAAAATAGACTCCGCCTCTGGATGGGAGGAACCACGAGGTCACATTGTGAAGGGGACTGCCCTGGTTTGAATGTGAATGCACCTCTATAGATTCATAAATTTGATTGCTCGGTCTCTAGTTCCAGGAATTAGGAAGTGTGGCCTTTGGAGGAGGTGTGTCATTGGGGGTAGGATTTGAGGTTTCAAAAGCTGGTACCAGGCCGTCTCTCTCTGCCTCCTTCTTGTGGGTAAGATGTGAGCTCTCAACTGCTGCTCCAGCACTAAGCCCCCCTGCCAGCCCTGCTCCCTGCCATGGTGATCATGGACTCCCCCTCTGAAACTGTCAGCAAGCCCCCAATTAAATGCTTTTCTTTATTTTTATTTTTAAATGGTTTTTAGAGGCAGGGTTTCTCTGTGTAGCTTTGTAGACCAGGCTGGCCTTGAACTCACAGAGATTCACCTGCCTCTGTCTCCCAAGTGCTGGGATTAAAGGTGTGTGCCACCACTGCCCAGCTAAATGTTTTTCTTTAATAAGTTGACTTGGTCATAGTGCCAAGGCCTGTTCTCTTCACAGCTATAGAACAGTGACTAAGACAGGGACTCAGGGTTATTATAATAACAAAATAATAGACAAATAATAACAAAAGTGGACCCCAATTTGGGGCATACCTCATGTTAAAACTGGTGAGATCTTTGGGGGTAGGTGCTACTTTTACAGTAGAGTATTTTGGGGACCCTTTGTGACGTCCAGCTGTTGATGCTTTGTCCTTAGCCCTGGGTACATGTGAGTGCTTTAATTAAAGTCTACCAGACAAGTGAGGGAACAGATGTGTGGCGTAACACAAAAATAAAAACCCAGAGATTGGGGTTCAAGCTTCAAGCTGAAGATTAGAAAAGCAAAGCAGCCAGCCAGCTCTTACCTCTACCTCAGACTGAAGGGGTGATCCAGCTAGCTCCATGAATCCTCAGACTGTAATCCTGTCTCCACCAACCCTTAGACTGCAATCCCAGACTGCTGCCTCTTCCTTTTATATCTCTCAAATCCTGGGATTAAGTGTGTGATTCCAAGTGCTAAGATCACCTTTGTGTGTGCCGTTTCTCTATAGGACTGAATCAATTTCAT